CGTTGTATTGCTTCATGGGAGCCTTCTTTTTTCGCTGAGGTCCGTTACTCATAGAACAGCTGGTAAATTTCTTACACCAGTCCTTTACATCATCAAAAGTAAAACATTTCCCGAACTCTCTGAAGGGTTTTCTTAATACCGAGATGTCCTCCTGATGGACTGTCGTGTAACTGTCGAAGTACTTTGGCTACTCTAGTCTTTGGAATGACCAGCTGTCACTACCACTATCTAAAAAATCATGTCTGATCCCTTGCCCTGTGAAAAACAAAAATATATCTATCCCACGGGAACCATACATTTTCGAGATAAAAAGTAGCCTGCTATTCCAGACTATAAACCTATCTTTGTGCCAAATTTCATCCAGATCCGTTCAGTCGTTCTGACGTGATTGAGCAACAAACATCCATACATCCAAACTTTCGCATTTATGTATTAGTAGGATTTTATTTTTACTATTATTTAATACCGTAGATCACATTGTTATTGGTTCGGTATTCCTAGAAGGTAATTTGAACGCTGAAAATTACGTACAAGTACCTGCTTCAAGAAAAATATTTGTCAGTGGAGAAGCTTCTGGGCTGAACAAAAAAGCTAGCCTTCTACTCCCAGTAACTCTTTAATTGATTTATTAATGTCCAATTTTTTTGAAATTATTTTCCAGATCATTTTCCGATCAATCTAAATGTTCAAAACTAAATCCTTCATTACTGATTAGAATTCTTAGAACATTAATTGTATTTGTCGACGATAATCCATCATAATTATAGTTTCAAAGGCTCGGATGTGTCGTAATTGAAATGCAATAACTCATTATTGATAGAACCAATAAAAAAAGGAGCATTCGTCATGCATTACCGGAGAACGCAATTGCCAATACCATACTCAACAACAATGGCGCATTAAAATTTATAAATGGGCGACAATAATTAATTTTGGATTTCCCGGTAGACCTACTTTGATAATAACGAGAATACGATATTTTTATGTTACGTGAGCTATTGGCCTACTTGTTGATAACAAAATCATAAATCTTTATTCGATTTCGACGAAGTCTAACATTGTAGAAATATAATGATGATGTTCGATGGCAATAAAACTTTTGACGATACGAAAAATAATGTTTTTTATATTGTAACCTTTAATTCGCGAATGGAACGTGTAGGTAGTGATGTCAAAATGTTGGTAACACGCAGGGCAACTTAGCCTTCCATCTTGGACGCCATTTTTTTTCGTTTTAAGAAAAAAATATGAGCGATTTTATAAAAATTACGTTTTTATTGTGTTCGACATAAAAAAAACATTTATATTTAGATAGAAATAGAATACATCGTGAAAAATAGATCACTTTTAATTTTGTGCTGTTTTGGTTTGGTTTATTTCAAAATGTAATATGAAGACACAATTTTCTTATAGATGATGATGCAGAACAAATTGTGGCTTCCTTTTCGACGCATTAAGTTTTGAGACAGCAGCTCCCGGTCCATAATAAATAGATTCGTACTTAACATTTTTCTGACGATCTAATTTTATTATTATCGAAACGTCCAAAAATGTTAATGCAAATTAGCATTTAGGAGTACTTTCAGAAAAAAAAATAAAAGTACAGGTCAGTAGATAAAAAAAATATAATAATTTTGATAGTGGCAATTCAGACACGAAGAAAAATGCACCTGCAAAGCTCTATCTATAATCAAATAAAAAACCTTAATACAAATTTTGCTATCTTTGATAATAAAGGCACCAGAGTCAAAAATCAAAAATATTTTTATTTCGATTACCCCAAATAACTTAGAGACCTGACCTGACCTGATATCTAGAATTTCAAAACATCAATAAGTTAGTCTCATAATTTGACAACGTTTTCCATCCAGTAATTTATAAAATCACATTGGTGTTGCATTTAAATTGTCTCCAGTCTACACCCTCTGTATACCTATTGTTACAGACCTCTCGCACCTGTGAAAGAAAATAAAATAAGATCTACATCGACAATTCTTAAATGAAAAAAATTTCCATAAGAAAATTCGAAGGTTTAATTTGCACATTTTTTATACCGCTCAAGGTTATCGGTTTTGCCAGGCGTTGTTATCAGCTTGATGTTGAGCATGACATGTTGATGTTGAGCTTGCGGTTTGTAGATAACGGCGCGACAATAGTGGAATCGGTGTCAACGATTTTCAGGCACCGGCTTAAGGGGGAACGAACCTCATTACCTTTTCAATTACGTTTTTTTTTTGTCACTTGTTCTATAACGTATAATGTCATATAAAGATAAAGGCCACGTTGTCAGAGTTGGTGCTACTTCGAATGATATGATAGCCAATATCCGAATTTAATAAACATTGATGTTAGAAGAGTATTAAATAAAATCCTGTTTTTTCTAAATATATTTATCTTTTAATAACTCTAACTGCAACACATATAATAAAACATCACCATACTTATTATTATTATTTTTTTTTTTTTCAAAGATATGGTGATAAATATTATTATTAAAATAACCAAAAAAGGTTGACACCTGTGTGCACGTAGTTTAGATTCAAAAGGAAAGACTTGTATTTCGTGCAAAACTTTTTAATTAATAAATGCAAAGCGCCTTCGGCATGGTGCCATCATCAGTGCTTATCTACAAAAATTGTGGATGTAAACTTACAATTTATAAATATGTGAAAAATTAAAATCTGAGTAAGACTTTTCTAAAGCTTCTTTCCATGTAGCTAGTGCTTTTTCTGCTAAAGTACCAGCATTTCCACACTTTAGTGCTATAATTAATGCCCCAAATATGTTCAATAGAGTTCAATATACAATTGTTAGGAGGTAGTTAAAGTATTGTATATCCTTACATGTTTTCAGCTTCATATACTTCTAGTGGTTTATTTCTACAAATGTTTAATTTTTTAAAACATTTATTATTTTTGAGCACACGTTATCATCTGCTGTTACGTCAGTAAATGATTTAATAACAGATATAAAATGTTTAGGAGAAGTAGAGTTTTCCTGTTATTTAATTTCTTTTTTAATTTTATTAAATTGATGATTTTAACTTTAATATGGATTAGTTTAGTATTAACATAATAAATTTAGAAAGTTTTACATTATCTTACATCTGTACCATATTTAATAACTGTGTGTTGACCAAAGTTGTTTCAAAATAAGGAATGCCATGTTCAGTTAATCAGGTATCTGTATAATGGTCTAAGATCCGAAGTAAGGTCGACCTTCACCCATCTGTTTAATGGATGCAAGTTTCTTTTTATTAAATAAAATATGTTTATTAATATACTGCAAATGGGTTTCCTAAGAAAATGCGGTCCAGACTATTTATTTTCATAAAGTAAAAAAACCGCACCCTGTAAATTATTCCCCAAATTCTTCGACTATGCCCAAAGTTTAATCAGCTCACCGCAGGATGGATTAAAGCTTAAGTTTAAATTTTGGGTTTTTCTCTTCGTCCGTTTTTGAGTTATCTTCAAATTCGAAATTTGCACATTTTCTCAAATATCTCGAATTAGGTCCATTTTAGGGAAATCATGTATAGGGCCAAAATAATAGATAATGACATCATAAGCAACTTTTATCATGATTCCTATACTTTTATTATCTGTACACAGAAAGGAAAGTAAAAAATAGCCGTGACCGTATTTTCTTAGGCAACCCGTTTGCGGTATATTTAAAAACATATTTTATTTAATAAAAAAAACTTTTATCTGTTAAACAGATGGGTGAAGGTCGACCTTACTTAATTCCTTGTTTTAAAATTTTCTGCATAGAATATAGCTGCTTTAATCCATGTCCCTCATCGCATAATCTCGGGTTCTTTCCTTATGCAACTGAACTCTTAAAGGGAATTTTAAAAATATTTTTGTCATATTCGAAATAAGCTTATTTGGCAAGGGATATTCTGTTCTCACAGTTTCTGCAACTAAATTTATTCCATGCAGAAGACAAGTAACGTGGACCATATTTAGATAAAATATTGTTAAGTTTTGCCCTACTTTTATCATATATGGTGCTGCGTCAGACAAAAACACTAAGAACTTCTCTGAAGGAATTTGATTTGGTAAAAAAAATTCGGCTGGAGATTGTTGAATAAATCGGGTAACAGTTGTATTGTTACTTTTTTCTGTCTTGATGCAATTAAATATGATGTACCTGGTTCACTTTCCTTTTAGGCTCCAATCATAAGATGTACCATATATCTTCCACACGCATCTGGGCTTTCATCAACAATGATGTAAAAATTACTATCATCCAGTAAAACTTTAATTTTTTCTATTACATTTGTATATATAGCATGTACCTTTTTTCTGAGTGTTGATTGATCAGGAATGGTTTGATTGCAATATGTTTGTAAAAATTCTCTTAGATGTAAGTTTTGTAACTTTTTTAATGGGATATTTGCCGCAACAAGAGCTTTGCACAAGTCCTGATTAAATATAAAGTAAATACTAAATTTAAATATAATTATGTTTAAGTGCCTTGCACTACCAACTTTGATTTTACTCACACGTCTCTTATAAGTCTTGCCAGGAACGTCCAACTGTACCATCTATACTATAAATATCCATGTCTCATCCAAAAAAACAAACTGATACAAGCCTTTCCTTTCGATTTTATTCTCAAGTATGGTACTCTTATTAAACAATTAAATTTGTATTTTTTTTTGTATCATCATCTACATAACTAAACGTGCGACCCGTCTTTTTATGAAACAAACCATGAGAAATAAGAGAATCCCTATTGGTTAATTTGATTCAGAACTCAGAATCAGTTAAAAGATTCTGATAAGAAATTATTTATTGAATTAAATTCCATGTTTATTTCTTTATTGCAGGCAAAAATCACTTAAACAAAACAAATTAAGATAAAATGAATCAATGAGTTTGTTTTTGTGTCTTCACAAATAGAATTTTAAGAACTCTTATTAATTTGTTATTATACCAAATGCATTTTCTTACATTCTAAGCTTTTGAAAATAAAACGTTATTATCTTGTTTCAGGATGAACGTTTTAATCATGAAGTGGACAACCGGACGGGTTACAGGACAAAGTCCTTACTATGTATGCCTATTAAGGATACTAATGGTGATGTGATAGGGGTGGCACAAGTAAGTTTATATATTTATTTCAATTTAAACCGGAACGCGCCAAATCTTTATGTGCATTGGGTCAAAATAATTTGTTTTCACACTTTCAATTTATGTCACTCATAGACTTTTCGCATTTAAAGCAGTCCTACAAAAACAGTGATAGAATATTAATTTTTTTATTACACAATGAAACAACAGTAAAACAGCAAAGAATGTTATAAATTGATTAGTGCATCTTTTTTAACTTTTACGCGTCATCTTATTTTTATTCACATAAGCTTAGAAATTATTAACATTTCAAATTATTAAAAAAATAAAATTCAGATTGCACTTTTAGTCGGCATTTGTCCTTAAATAAGGAAAGGAAATAAATAACCAACGTGCTAATAATTCTAGGTGTGATTCTTCAAGTCATTTTATAAAGAAAAGTTCATGTGAACATTTACCCGCAACTGCTTAAATTTTTTGCTGAAAAAAAAAATTGTTTTAAATCTTTATTTTTTAGTATCTCCCAAAGTACTTTATTTTCAATTTTGGTGTGTTATTAGGATATACAGATTTGACTTAAATTTTTCTTGGGTATAGGGCAAAACTATAAAGAGCAACAGAAAGAAGATCGTTTATAATAAGCGAGAATAAAAGAGAGAGAGAGAGAAGAAGAAGTAGACCGTTGGCAATCTCACTATGCTTCATGACGACGACCGGTCTCATCCGTTGACTCCGACATGCGAATCAAACAAATTCAGTCTAGACCAGACCGAGTCCATAGCGCGTAAAGGTAAAACAACAGATTCTGGTTTTAAAATAACTAGATATTATTATGCTGAACGTTATTTATACGATTCGTGGTACTATGGGGGTTATTTCGTTCAAAATATTATAAATTTATTTGTAATTTGATAATTTTTGCTGCGGTAATAATTGCAAAAAGTGCATTAGCTGAAGCTACGCCCTTTTCAAGTAGACATATTACCGCTGATGTTGACTGGAAAGAGAAACAGTACGAAATATTAAAAAACGGGTATTCCTGTTTTAAGGTATAGGCCACTTAAGAAATTTTTCCTGACGGCCAGTTTAAAAGTATGGAGTTTTGCCAGATAATGATTAAAATAACAAATCAAAATGTAAATTTTTTGAAAAATATTTTATTTACAGATGAGTCTTCTTTTACTCTCCATAGAGAATAATCCATCCATTTAACGCTATTGGTCGTAGGAGAATAAACACTCAAGTGCAGCTGTAGGTACACAATATCCGCAAAAACTGAATATCTGGGCGAGAATCCTGGGGGATAATATCATCGGTTCTTTTTTCATTCAACGTAACCTGAACTACTTGAAAATTACATTATTCCTGCAATAACCCAATTAAGGAAAGGTTACCAATGCCAAATTAGCAAAAACAGGCCAACTAACCAACCTTTTAACACGATACCCTAAAAACGACTATTATAACCAACAACCAGCCAAGATTGTACCCAACGACATAACAATTATCCTACAACACAGACGTAACATCTAACTATAGAATAAAAATAACAGCACGGATAAGTAACTAAAGATCTACAGGCTCGTTCAAGGAATACAGTTTCAAGTCCTAAGTATGCCAAACACCTTTCAAATTTCCGTCCCTGTTTCGCATTTCATAGGTTCACGGGGACAAAAGTTTATGTATAAAGAGGGAACCTATATAACGAGGAGCTAATTTTCTAGTGAAATACTTGGAAATATTCGAAAGTACATAATTTTTCTTCCACACTCAAGAATTTAGTATATATTCCAACATACCTACGTCTAAGATTGTTACAGGCCTTTCGATTCGCAACTTCCAACCGTTTTCGATGGTCCCAGTACATTGACCGCATTACCTCATTTTTGCTAACCTCAGGAGTCTATATACCAGCCTCTCTATTCACATCTGGTTTAACTACATAATCAACTCCTGACAACATCATAGACCTACCAAAATTAGCAAAGAAAGGGGAGAGCTTCGTTACTCGTTACCTCATGAGTGGAAGTACTACATATAGCGCAAGCCATTTGATCAATATTCTCATCCCAACACCGAAGGTTATCTGACACATGGTTTTGATAACCCGATTCGTACATTCACATGGTTTAGCTGGTGTATGATAATTTGCGCTAAATGTAACACCTACTTTATACCTAGCTGAAAGATAGAGAAAACCTTTACTTCGAAAGTGAGGTCCATTATCTTAAATAGCACACTAAAAAGACTTCCTCTTCAATCTTACGAACCGCAGTTGCTGCAGTAGCTTTGCTTAGTGGGAATTGTGGCGCATATTTGGTCAAATAGTCGGTTACTACTCAGATAAAAAAATTACCATGTTTCGAGCGAGGTAAAGGTGCATAGCATCTCCCAAGGTCTATCAACTTTTGGATTCGAGACCATCTTGTCTACTGGCTTACCTTGAGATAGTGGATACTGTGTGTGTGTGTGTGGATACCTCATTTTGGGCCAATAGTACAAGGAGGTTACCCTACTAAAAGTTTTAAAGATACCAGATACCAGATATATCAGACTTAGGAACTATTATTATCCACATATCAGAAAGTGTTAAAAGCTGAGTATACTGCTTGATACACCAAGCGGGAAATTTAAGAGGGGTACCAATGACCTTATTCACCATGCCACAATACCACTTATCATCCTTACCATGAGAGCCCATCGCGCCAGGCGACCTTTGGGTCTCTCCAATTTTTGCAGCCACAATAAACTAAAATGATCTGTGCTCACCGTAAAGGGCACCCACTCTAAGTAAGGCCTTAAAAACTCTATAGCACAGCGACACTTTCTCTCCGTTGTAAAATAATTCCTCCTGAGGCGTAAGCGACCTACTGAGATAACAAATCACCTTGTCTTCAGATTCGTGAGGCTGGCTCAAAATAGCTCCAAGGCCATATTCGCTACTATCAGTCTGTACCATAAACGGCTTCGTATAGTCAGGATAACTAAGTATTGGGGCCGAAACTAAGCATTCCTTAAGGCGCCGGAAAGAATCACAATCTGGAATCCAGGTGAAGGAACGGCTATTCCTAAGAAGACCGGAGATGGGAGCCCTAATCGTGGAAAAATCTGGAATGAATCTCCTATACCTGGAGGAAGTACCAACTACTCGGCGGACTTCATGGATGTTAGACGTGGTAAGCTGTTCTAACATGACCTTCACCTTATCAGGACCGACAAAATTGACCTTTATCCTTTGTACAGTCAATTTGGTGATTTGTTGGCTGGTTTTCAACAGGGGGTATTTCGTGCGAAATTATACTGGTGCGCGGTTACGCGGATGCCAGTGCGTTGTCTGCATATATTCCTATATAAATTAACATCGCGCGACCGCTATACGTTGCTGTTCGTGGCTCGTGCGTTATTTACCTAAGAACTTTTAATTTATCGGACCACATTACCTCCGACTAGAACTATCCGCAGTTAATACCCCAATTGTCGCTAGGACAATTGCGGACCACCTCGTAACAGTCGTTATTCTTTGGCTAATTGATTTATTTAGCCGAAACCTTCGGATCGTATTGTTACAGTTTGGTGGTTTGTTCGAACCACTCTTGTATTAGTTGTTTTTTATTTCAAAAGAATGTTTTAAGTTATTTTTTGTTTTTTGCCAGAATTATTGTTTTATTTTTCATGTCTGCTATGGCAAAAAAGGAATCAAATAAATAAGTTGGGAAATAAGATATTATTTTAAAAAATAAAATTATATCTTTCATTTCAAATAAATTATTTAGCATTTAGGTGTCCACACCAACGCGTATTGTACATTACTGAACTAAAATCAAATTCACACCCACACCTTGAGTGTGATGGGAGGTTCGACTCCCCACTGATCAATTTATCACAAAGTTGGATATAGCGCGTGCTAGCTTTTTATAAAGCTGTCTCTGTTCCTCTCACACATACACACACACACCTTGAGTGTGCTGGGAGGACGACTCCACACTGCTCAATTTATCACCAAGTTGGATATAGCGCGTGCTAGCTTTTTATAAAGCTGTCGCTGTTTCTCTTGTTTATTTTGCAATACCCAAGAAAAATTTAAGCCGAATCTGCATATATTGTTACTTTTAATGGTGTTTAAATTATTTACCGAAGCTATTTCTTGTTTTTCGATTAGGTTATCAATAAAGTAGGTGATCAGCCATTCTCAAAAATAGACGAAGAAGTATTTTCCAGGTACTTGCAATTCTGCGGCATCGGCCTACGAAACGCACACCTTTACGAAAAGTCGCAATTAGAAATTAAAAGAAACCAAGTACTTTTAGATTTAGCTAGGATGATCTTTCAAGAACAGTCTACTCTAGAACACGTTGTTTATAGGATTTTATTACACACGCAGAGTCTGATCCAATGTCAGAGAGTTCAAATTCTTCTCACCCATCACGATTCCAGCGCGAGTTTTTCCAGAGTGTTCGATTTCGAAGAAAACGACGTGAATATAATCGAATCGGGCGAACATAGGACGAGTCCGTTAGAGGGTCGATTTCCGATAAATCTGGGAATCACCGGGCACGTGGCTACTACCGGGGAAACGGTGAACATTTCTAACGTTTACGAGGACTCCAGGTTCGATCCGGAGTCCGACGAGGGCACCAGTTTCAAGCACAAAACCGTTTTGTGCATGCCGATCAAGAACTCTAAAAATAAAATCATCGGCGTGATAACGTTAATAAATAAATTCAACGATCTCCTGTTCACGCAAAACGACGAGAATTTCGTCGAGGCCTTCGCCATTTTCTGCGGTATGGGCATTCATAATACGAGGATGTACGAAGACGCTACTACGGCCGTTGCGAAGCAAAAAGTGATTTTAGACGTTCTGTCATACCACGCGACAGCTACAGTGGAAGAGGCTCAAAAATTGAGGGTGAGTTATTATTAGTACAATAGAGCAGTTTACACCATATACATAATATCTAAAGGTTGTTTGTTACGAACTTAATTAAGTTATTGATTTAGTTACTACTTGACGACATAATATAATACTTATTTTGTAGCGCATTTGGATGAGCATTTGATAATAAACACGAAACCAGGCTTGGCCGACAAAATTATTTCGGCGATCGATGAGTCCACCGGCTGCAATCTGTCAAAATAACGAGGTTAGATTTTCTAATTTCCACATAATTAATTGATCGTAATGACCGCCAATTCTAAAGCGCTATTTTATTACATACATTACATAAAATAATATTAAAAAAATATTGGGTCTATAGGCCGTCAAATTGGCGGTCATAAGCTAAACCTCTCTTACAATGTATAAACCTTTTATTTAGGGTGGTCATACGCACTGCAACGGCCATGGTACAGCATTTTTTTAAAGTCTGTGCGTAAAATGCCAAGCACTCAAACGTAGCAAATAGGACTTGGAGAGCAAAAAAAGATCCTCTAGAGTGTATACACTTTTTTCGAATAAATTCTTCAAGTAAAGAAGTATTTACGATTATTACAATCTAATCATTAAGATCAATTAGTAATTTTATTTTAACCTAACTTATCTAGGGATGAAAAACTTTATAAGCTAAGATTCTACTAACTAGTGTACCATAGAGTCTAATTATTTAGTTACACTACCCTACCGTCAACATATAACACTAACAGCCGTATGCATAGTCGATCGCCAGCGACTCGCCAGAGATTCATTTCGGCGTATCGCCAGCGATTCGCTGGCGATCCGCCGGCGAAAGCCCAAAAAGCTGGCGACTCGCCGGAGATTGTCACCGGAATGTCATTTCACGCAAGTTTTCATGTTCTTTTATAGGGAAAAATTTGATATTCGTTCATTATTTTTTGAGTTTTAAGAAATGAATCATGAATAAAATGCGAGAGATACCGGCGATAATCCCTATAAAAGAAAATGAAAACTTGCGTGAAATGACATTCCGGTGACAATCTCCGGCGAGTCGCCACCTTTTTGGGCTTTCGCCAGCGGATCGCCAGCGAATCGCTGGCGATACGCCGAAATGAATCTCTGGCGAGTCGCTGGCGATCGACTATGCATACGGCTGTAAAACGCACTATACTGTGCCTTTAAGCTGGATTTATAAACTACGTTCAGTTCACGCTACGCTCGCGTTGGTTAGTTAGGGATGGACACAATGGGCCCGTTCACTTTCATTTTTGAATGTGAAATAATTATATATTTATAAAGATATTAAACTCTTTTGTCTGGTGGTACTTTTCCCATTCAGATATTTTTGCTAGAAGTAAGGGAATTCCCATAAAATTCTTTCAGTGACTCATTGCGTCAGAAAATCCCTAATTCCGTTCACGTCTCGTATCGGTTATGCTTAAAGACGGCGGGGTTGTCGGAAGTATCCCTAATATAGCATTTCTGCATTTATATATGTAATTTAAATAGTAAAATTCCATTATTTTTCTAAAAATCTAAAAATCATGAACTCATATTTTCAAATTTAAAGCTGGGAGCTTATTTTTTACTTTTTAATTAAAACAATTATTATTACTCAGGCTGAAAATTAACCAGACCATAATCAAAAAGTAGAAATTTGATTTGCAATATTTATCTGGTAAACGTGGCAACGTTGCATTTATTTCTAGAAGTATGTGTAGACAACACTATTTAGATACTTACAACGTTGTCACGTTTACCAGAAACATTTTCTCAAATAAAATTTCGATCTGGTAATATTCAGCTTGAGTAATACTAATTGTTTTTATTAAAATTTAAAAAAGGTAGGGCTTCCAGCTTTATCTGAAAATATAAACACATTATTTTTAAAAAATAATATATTTTTATCATGTAAATTTCTTTAATAAATGCAGAAGAGGAATGGTGGTGCAAAGATACATCCGACAACCGCGCCCTTTTAACTATTAACCGATACGAGACTTGAAGGGAATTAGGGGTTTTCTGACGCAATGAGTCACTGAAAGAATTTTATGGGAATTCCCTTACTTCTAGCAAAAATATCTTAACGGGAAAAATACCACCAGACAAAAGAGTTTAATATCTTTATAAATATATAAATAATTCACATTCAAAAATAAAAGTGAACGGGCCCATTTATAAAGTCGTTGGCCATTCGTTCGTCGCTGCGAATTTTGACGTTTGATTTGACAAGACATAACCACAAATTTTACAAAATAAATTGTATTTCGTTGTTATTTTGTTTTAATTATATTTATAGATGGTGTCGGTATAAAATAATTGTAAATCCTTTATGATTTCGTATCCAAAACAAACCTACCATGTCACTTTAGAATCGCGTTAACGCATGCGTGGTCAAATGACCAGATACGTGTTTTTCGTTGGATCGACAGTCGTAGCGTTCGTAGGCGAACTGAGGCGAACGGCCAACGTAAAAATTGGTCATCTCTCAACGTAAACTGAACTCAAACTGAGCGCGAACTAAGTTAATAAATTAATACGCATGTTCTGCTTTGTTTATGTTAAACTCGAACAGAGCGTGAACTGAACGCGAACTGAACGAAGTTTATAAATCCAGCTTTATCTAATATCACTCAACTGGTTCTCTTGAGTCTTATTATTGGTGTAAAGTGTTACAAATTTTGTGTAATTGGACTGTATCACTTTATTCACACAAATAACAACTTGTTATAACAAAAAATAAAACAACTATATCAGTTAACATTCTGCATGGCTTTTTATACGACGCAGCGTGAATCGACTTGACATCTTTTATTTTTTTTAAGTAATAATATTCGAGGTTCGATCTTGCGCGCACTCTTGTATAAACATTCTCAACTACACAGGCATAAAACTACATTTCTGTGACAATAATTGTGCTCTCGACTGCCAGAGGGTGCCACATGTACCAATTGCTATTTTTTTTAATTTACTGAAATGTCAACAATTAGATTTGCATTGTTGAGGAGCTGGATAACCTCAACGTTCCCATGTTGGAGCAGTTGTTGTTGGTACTACTGCCATATTTTTCTATTGTTTTGTCATGCAAGACTGGTCCTGCTCTGTAGCGCGACGCCCAGTCTAAAATCGGAGATAATTCCAGACAGCTCTTTGTACACGTACTAAGTCATAAAACAAGGGTTTTAGCTTTGTCCCCAACCTTCTTAAGAACACCGATGCAATGACGACAGCATTACGAGATCATTCTACACAAGCCTGGAGTCGTTTGGAATATAATATTTCTAATATAAATAGACTCTTTGTAGATAGTTAATTTTCAATAAAAGTGTTGTATAGAAAATATTAGAATTGTGAGTTATAATAGTGTCTGAGTTTGAACTAAATTAATTTGTACGTTATAAATAAACTGTTTTTAATAAACTGTTTTTAATGAATAAACTGTTTTTAATAATTAAACTGTTTTTAAGGGCCCTATGAAGATCAGTATTACGGCAGTACCAGGGTGCATCGACGAATTTCCCTAATACTTTATTCTGGCAGCGTTTAATAACTATTACTGGCACAACCCCACAGCTGGATACCATACGTCCATACGGGTTTCAATATATGCCTGCAAAGGAGCGTATGTTGGATAATTTGGAATTTTTTTCCTAGCAACCAATGCATTATTTTACATTTTATGCCAAGCTCTTCGCGTTTCTTTTTAATATGGACTTTCCAGCGAAGTCTAACATCAAGTGTCATACTCAGATATTTTGCTTTATTGGCAAAAGAAATCTGAGTGTGGTTTATTCTAATAGGAATATTTTCATTCTATGAATATTTTATAAATATTGCAATATATTTTGGCAAATAGGCAGATGGGTGGCATATGCTAGGGATATATTGTGCTGTCTGGAATATTGTCTTTTATCCCAATGTGGTTGCTGAGGCAAGTTTGGCTTCTTCCTTTGCTTGTTAATTATTCTTTGGAATTATTTGGCTCTGATGCATACGCGGTAATTAGCCGGGTAGTCTTCTCCGCAATGGACACCTTTGGAGGAGCAGTTTCTACATGACTTGTGTTAATCTATCTTTAGTCCTCACTTCTCGAGCCCAATATTGGGTCAAAATTGTTATAAACATCGGCCTGGAGCTGCCCTTAGTCAACACATGGCTCAATATGGGTCGTCAAAGAACTCGCTCAAAATCGTTAAATTTCGTCATTGGTGGAAAATATAGGGGAGACTGTTGTATACTGGGACAATATTTTTCTAACTGACATACAAAGTTTGTTCAATAATTTTTTACCATTGTGAACATTTTAGTACATTCAAAAATAGTTTGTTTATCAACAACTATATAAATTTTAACAACTTTTACACTTTAACAAAAAAAAAATTGGATGTCCCACTATACACTACTTTCCCAGTATGCATCCACCCCATGTTGCATACTGGGAAAGATGTACTTATGTGTATAGTGGGACAATGTTTTTTGAAGCCTTATAAATTAATACAAAAGGAAAGTTTGATCATTTATTGACAAAATAATATGTTAGTAGGTATCCCAATAAAAGAAATAGGTAAACATATCTTGAAACATCACTTAAAATATAAAACATGAACTAATAATTTCCAGGGTATCAAAAACAAAGATATTTGAGTTTGTAGCTCAAATGGGAAAGTTTTGACTAATCTATAAATTCAAACGAGAAATAAATTAACAGTAGTGAGAAGCATTAATGTCCTCAAAATAAAAAAGCCATTGCTTCGCTGCTCTTTCAGTTCCATCAGAAGTAAAAGGCACTGGAAGTTTTTGAATGATATTTCTTCCGACACAACATCGTCATCCCGTTTTTCAGGAAAGCTGAACCTATTATTTGGATTTTTTTCATGAAATTAACTGTGTATTCATCTTTTTCTATTTTTTCTATTTGACCAACGAAGTGTTTGATGCTTTTTCTCATAGGATACTAAACAAGTATGAAATCAGATATGTTAAGGATCTCATTTTGGTCTTTTGTAAATTCATCGGAGACATCCGCATCTGAATCATCATTACACATTTCATTCCCTGCAATGTCACTAGCGCTTGAGCTGTCATTTCTGGGCGCGAATAAATTTCTCTTGGCTTCCTTTGCCTTCTTTATTCTTTGTCGCTTTTGAGATGTTCTTTCCAATTTTAAACTTTCTTTTTCTTTCTTCTCTTCAGTTACAGGAGTATCAGTCAATTTTTTTTCTCATATTAGTATTTTTCTTTCGAGATACAGCCTTTGCATTTGGTCTTATAGCTTCCGGGTTAACAATATTTTTTAAGTGATTTTATTTCACTGCTGGATGTTCCAGAACAACTTGGAATTGGATTTTCAACAGATTTTTCTCCAGTTGTATTAGCCAATTTAACTGGTTTCTCAGTTTCAATTCGGTTTGACACGAAGGAGCTTAAAAAGTCGCAGTCCTGAAATATTTTTAACATCTAAAGGACAAATGCCAGTTTTTTCAAATCCTTTAATAATATTCTGAGGTGTGAAAGCTAGTGGAAAAGATTTTCCCAACTATATCGGCGATGCTATAGATTGTCACGGGAATACCAGGATTTTGTAGCATCCAGTCATCCATTGCTTTGTTGTAGTAAGTTTTAAAGGGGCCAAAACAACTGACATCCAATGGTTGCAAGCGATGGCTGCAGTGAGGTGGTAATGTTAGAAGTACTATGCCATGTGTTTTGCAATATTCAAGCAACCTTACATCTGTAGGGCTCTCGTGATTATCAAGACTAAATAAGATTTTATTGTCATTGTTATAATGTATGGTGTCTGTAAGATGTTGCAAGTATTCTACGAAATTACTGCCACACGTCCATCCACTAGCATTTGCCGTTCCTTTTGATCCAGGGAAGCTTCAATCAGCATGTGCGGCTTGAAATGTATGCGTGGAAACACAAACAAGGGCGTTACAAATGTCCCATTGGCGCATATAGTGGCACACATTGTTACCAGTACGCATATTTACACATCCTCCTATATGACGGCACCGGAGTGCTGAAATCTGTTCGCCTTTGTAACCTACAAGTACGCTACAAAAGCTCATTGATTTAGGCACCAATGCATGAGGCCTCTCTTATTGCTGGAATCAGTAAGCAAGCTTATCTGCATTCTATGAAACAATGGCTGTACTTTAACTGCCGTTAAACGGTCGTGTACTAAAATGCCGTTAATAGACATGATGTCATTCAAATGACGCATTTGAAGTGTTTTGGGATTAAAAAAAAAGAAAATATACAAGAATAAAACGAAGCAACGACTTCTCGTAGGGTGGCGGCTTCGCCGCCCCAAAAAAATTTTAACCCATACCTGGCTACGCCTACCGGCATAGACGACAACGGCCTGGACACAGCTAAAATTGAAAAGTAAAGTCACATATCATAAAATTTGTATGGGTGTCTAAATCAATGAGCTTTTGTAGCGTACTTGTATGCTACAAAGGCGAACAGGTTTCAGCACTCCGGTGCCGTCATATAGGAGGATGTGTAAATATGCTACCAGTACACCCCTTTCGCCACTAGTAATTTTACTAACCTCTTTTTGGCATCATGGTGCTGCTATTTTAGGAGGCTTGTGCACAGTAGTTAAACCAGTTTCGTCACAGTTGAAAATTTGGTTGGGGTTGAAATTCGATTTTTCCAAAACTCTACGCAAGTTTTTGAAAAATAGATCAACGTTGTGGCGGTTGAAACTAGTCGCGCGACTTGTAGCCTCGGGCGTTCTTCGGCTTAGGTTATGTCGAATTCGAAAAAGTTTAAACCATTCTCCGGCGATTTCATTTTCTGTCCATATTTTCGGCATTATTTTTTATTTGCGACGGCATAACTGTAAGCCAACTTTCTAGCTTCTTTGCTTGTTAACCCGTCGCAACATTTGTGAAGAAGTAACTAAATATTCACTAAGTAGTTGCTCTTCATCGTCACTAAAAATCTGCTTGAATCCATGTTGCCTTTGAAAATTTAATTCCTGCGTGTTTGCTTCATTAATTTTGTGCTTTTTCAAGTGTCTATGTAAAGCTGATTCGCTAACTCCAAATTGAACCGCAGCATTCCTGATATTCATTTTATTTTAAAGAGCAGCCTCTACCGCCTTTCTCATTTTTTCAGCATTCTCAAGATGTATTTTTTGACTCTCAACAAAATATTTTTTATTTTTCCGGCCCCTTTTCTTATCCATTTCTGGAAGAAAAAAGGAAATGAAAGTTGGTAAACTTGAAAAAACGAAACTGTCATTATCATAGAACAAATAAAATATTTGTCCTAATATGCAACCCGAAAATTATATCCCACTATACACTGCCCCACAATATACCCTTAACCCTTATCTACTTTTAACATTTTCTGAATTTAAAAATAATAAAAACAAATACTACTAAAAAATAACCTTAACTCACCTTCAAGGCACCTTCGGGAACAATTATTCTCAAATTCAGGACAAAATATTGGATATTACTCGCACAAACTATGCCCAACACGTGGTCGTAAAAAACACCATGCTTACACTAACGAGAATGCCGCTAAACTGAAGACGAAGACTCTAACGGCAACGGCGAGTACCAAGGTTATATTTAATGCGCACATAGGATGCAATTGACACAAATTTTAAGCGAATCTGGTGGCGGAAAATTTGAGTTATCCCACTATGGAACCTGTCCCACTATACAATAGTCTCCCCTAGGTATGCTGCCCGTGTATCATAAATTTGTAAATTATTATTTTGCAATAGAAAATACAGATCTTTTAGTTTATTTAATACAAGTTTATGCTTTCAAAATTAAAAAAAAAAAAAAAAAGAAATTTAAACTTATAGCATACCACCTTGTAATAGCACTTGACACGTTGGAGCGCCAATTTGTAATAGAATGGCGTTACTTTGCGATAAATTGTTAATTTCAAAACACTATTAAGAAATTTTGACTAGCTCATAGAAATTTAACACCAAACATTACCTTTAATCAAATTAAAAAGAAATGAGCACATTGACCATATAGTTTTCACAGTCGTGAATTCGGCTTTTCTAATAGACACCTCTGGGATAATAATTTTCTGGGAGAGTTGGGCACCAATAATTCTCTTTTTTTTTATTTTTAGAAAGCTAATGAGAATTATAAACTCTAGCTTTATCAAAAAGAAATTAATAAAAACTTATATAAAATTTAATTTGAGTAAAAGAAAATTGTTGTAACCTTAAAAAAATAAGATTCAACATATAAAAATGAATTAGTTTATTCAATTAAAAAATAAAATGTTCAGGAAACAAGTCAATATTAAACTTTATCTGGTATTATATCGTCATTAATAAAACTAGCCACTATTAGTTACCACTATTTGGTTTTGGCTGGCAATTTCCTTAGGATGCAGTCGAACTATAATTCTGCTACTCGGGAACGAACACCAAATCTCGCATCTCCCATGATTCTGCTACTCGAGCATAAAAACAGCATACCTCGTTCTGTCGTTCTAGTTCTTACGTGTAACTTTTAGCTTTTAGCTTTCAACTGTTAGCTTTCAACTGTTAGTTTTCAACTATTTTCAACAGTTAGCTTTCAGCTGCTCCTATTCGTTTTCTAAACAATAATAAATTATGTTTTTCACGTGGCTCTTGTCTGAGATATAAATTGAATTTGAAACATCTACTTTTTAAAATTAAATCAAGATACAATAAAAACTAATTACTATAAACATTGTGCAATTCCAGCAACCAGAATGAATTATAAAATTATATTTAGAAAAATTTAACTTTACTTTCAAAAAAACTAATAACTAACAACAGGTTGGAATATTATTTCTACCGAGATATTTTTACAATGACATTATACTTTTTTTTGCTTACCACTTTTACAGCCAAACACTACCATATACTAGGAGATAGTAATCATAAATGAAATTTCAAAATATAATGGCGAAATCGTTTGATTTACTGTACTCCCACTTCACGAAATTTCCCTTTTTTTGGAATATTGCGTGCGGCGATAATTGAATTTAAATTAATCGAAAACTATTTATAGAGGATGTCACACAATTAAAATAACATTTTTAACTGGAATTTTAAAATGTTACAACCTACCGTAAAAATTATTTATAAATTACGTATAAATTTGGATGTAACTATGACCGATTGGATAAAGATGCATTTATTAAATAATCCTGAGAAAATTAATTGCGTGGTAATTGAAAAACACAATCTCGTTATTTTGATATATTGCAGCCTATGGACTCATCGATCGTCGCATTAATTCTGTCGGTCAAGCCTTGTTTCGTTTGTATTATCAAATGATATTTCAATTGCGCTGCAAAAGATGTGGTCATTGTATTACGTAACTTCGTAAAATGAATCTACAAATGAAGTTTTTATTGAATGATAATCAAGCAAAGCATGACGTACTTATATAAGTCAAAATCTTATTGATGTTCGCTCACAGCGATGTGCATGTTCCTATTAAACTTTTTCAACTCATTGTAAACTAGACTTTCTGTATTGAAAATGTGGTACTAATATTTAAATGTAACGACTTCATGCGATTTTTTAATTCCAATAATCCTCATTTATTTTTTAGAGTTTGAGGGTGCCATCAAATGCCAAATTTATGCTTCTTGATTTTTCTTTCGATGACATACATATGAATGATGATGATACTTTGGTTGTAAGTATATTTTTTATATATTTTTCTTTTTAATCATCGATTAAACCTTGTATATTTTTAGTGGGGTAAAATACTCACTCCTAACGTATTCTAATTCAGTTTTCTTCTGTTTTTAATCATATTTCTAATTTTTGATAAATCTTTAACTTATAATGATTAAATAATAATACATTTTTCAAAGTTCCTTTAATAATTTACAACGAACCTGGTGTACCTTTGATCTTGGTTACGTGAGAAAGTCGGCGTTTGCTGGTTATACTTCTTCCTGTCTAGTATTTATCACTTACAGATAATGGTGTACGCAATCACCTCCGCTTTAAGTGGTTCGGTTTTTTTGATTAGGCAAACTTTGTACTTTGTACAATGGAAATTTTACAAAAAAAAACAATCATCTTTTTGCAGTTAATTAAAAAAAAATACTAATATGTCTTGTTTTAACAAAAACTTAAGGATACCTAAAATATACTAATTTTTTATGGCAGAAGTATTGGGAAAATAAGTAGTTGTGAAAATCACGTCCTTTAGTTTAGTTATCCTATTATTATTCTCTTCACACAGTAGTATATGAAGAGTATTATTATAGGTTTACTTTCGAGGAACCAAAATTTTCAATATTGATCCAAATTTAAACATTTTTGTACCAAAATCCTTTTCATTAAATTTTAAACACCTTTTAAAAGTGCCCGTCCATCCGATGTTACGTTTTTTTATCTACACGATAAATCAAAAACGAAAAATGATATGAATATGAAATTTTGAGCAAAAATCAAGCTCTATAAGGGGACGAATCTTATTGATATTGTAAAAGCTTAATAAAAATTGGAAGTTAAGCCCATTCTAACCTCCGCCTTATAAAAAAAAATCCTAAAACAAAAACGAAAGGAGATTCTGAAAAAAATACCATGATACCAACTTGAAATTTTTAGCAAAAATTAAGCTCTATAAGGGAACAAAGCCTATTGATTTTAAAAATCTAAATAAAAATGGGATTGAAATAATAGAAATAATAAATTAAAAATGAGAAGCGATCAACATGAAATTTTTAGTAAAAATCAAGCTTTATAAGGAGATGAAACCGAAAAAAAAATGAATATATGAGGAGTTAAGGGGGAGTTTAAATCCTAACTCGGAAACAGAAAACGATATCAACTTAAAATGTTCAGGAAAAATCAAGGGAATAAAGCCTATTAATTTTGACAAATCTGAATAAAAATGTGGGGGCTAAGAAGGGGTTTTTGAAGAGTATGATATAAAATTAGTTCATTATTATATCGTAATTCTATTTCTTTGCTTAAATTCAGAGGTTCGGTTTTTTAAATGGTTTTACAAATGCCCCAAAACTGTGATCATGTGTTTCCCATAGCTCGTCAATCGCATATTTTCCAAAATTATGACTTCTAAGTAGGGCGAGTAAGATCTTTTTTTGGACTTAAAAGGGAACAGTAGTGCGACTAACAAACGGTACACTTGTTCTGTATGGACTACGGTTTTCCACAAGGGGAAATGGTTTGTCAAGCAACGCCATTTTGCTAGAATCATTCGCATTTTATATATCTGTTCAAATTTTTTAATTAAAATTTATAATAGCAGACTTAAAATTACAATATCTTTTGTCTTCCATTTAAAAATTAGACTCTTTGCCTATTTTCACTGAAAATAAATGAATATATTGTTATTGTTTAATAAGTTATCATTAACAGCTGTGAAGCAGGCGTCCACTGAAAAGAAAAATTACTTGTCAATAATTCAATTTAAAAAACCAAACTTGGTAGATTTTCAAAAACACTTTTATTAAAAAAAAAAAATAAAATTAAAAGTTCTTCATGACAATTGTTTCGCCGTAGGCGGAGTGCTCAATCGTCTGAGTGCAATGTGGACAATCCACTCGAATTGTACAGTATGTTTCTTTTACGACCCACTAACGAAAATTTACGAATAAAAAAAAATAGATTATTAAGACAAAATAACTAATGTTTAAATAATTTATGACTTTTAATAATTTTTAAAATAAAATAAACGAAAAAAAAAAGATTATTTTTAATACTCGTAATTGAATTGACTTCATAGAGTTCAATTAAAATTAACAAATTCTTTATAATTATAGTATAAATAAAAATAGAAATGCTATTATTTAACGATTCTACACAAAAATAAGTCATTTAATTTTGCCCTTATTGTTATTAATATACTTTCCAAGCGTATTATTGTTTTTGAAAGCTATGTTAACATTTTGGTTTTTTAAGTATGATGATACCTTTTTACTGGAGTTTCCTATATATTTGAGAGTCTATAGCTCCAATTTTGATCGTTAATTATGGGATAAACGTGTTTAATAGCATGCTTAAAAAGTTTTTTCTCTAAAATTTTGTCTACTAACTTTAAATGAAAACTATTATTTACTACAATTAAATTAAACCATTTAGAGTTTCTTAAAATAAATAGATTTAAACATTCAATTATTAGATATTAATAACTCGCACTTATTACATCTCTTTACCTGTTCTTAGTTTTCTGTGAGATATTCCCGGTAATGATTGGAATTTTAATAATATATTTCTTAAGTACCTTACTTTATAGTTTACTTTCTTTATACCGGGTGTTCAAATTAAAGTATTACAGCTAAATACCGCCTTTTATAAAAAAAAAACGTTTCAGAGGAAAGTTTTATAGTTTTGTGGCGAAAAAATTTTGGCTAAAATCGTTTTTTATAGCTAACCATAACATGGCTAACTTTTTTTCGCCCAGCAAAAAGTAAAAGTCCAATAAAAAAAAATATTTCCATCAAAAGTTTATTTATTTATGTACTTTAAGAATATGTAAAAAAAAGTCCACCTCGATATGGCTATATTATGGTCAGCTATAAAAAAATGAATTTAGCCAAAATGTTTCCCCCAAAAAACTATAAAACTTCTGTCTGAAACTTTTTTTTCTAAAATGCATATTTTCGGCGGTATTTAACAGTAACACTTTAATTTGAACACCTGGTATATTAGACATCGAAATGTAAATTCTTATTTTTCCTTTTTTTTTAATAATAGTGTTTGTGAAAATCTATAAAAAGTTTGGTTTTGTCATTCAAACAATATGGATTTTCATCAAGTAAAGGCCGAAACAATCAAAAATAATTCTCACAAATTGATCCTGAGAAAATGGCGGCGCAATCAACGCACTTCTGATACGCAGACCTTGCGAAAAATTTGTATTTACACATGACTTTTGTATTGTAGGCTTGTTTGCGGATGTTCCTGGATTTGGGTCTAGTCGAAAAGTTCCATTTGGACTTTGATGTATTATGTAGGTGGTTACTTTCAGTTAAGAAAAATTACAGGGACGTTACTTACCACAATTGGAGGCATGCATTCAATGTTGGGCAAATGATGTACTCAATATTGCACGTAAGTTAAAAAAGTACTTTTTTTTCTATTCTTTGGACATTATCGTTTTCAAATGACGTCGATTTCTTTCTCTTTTTTAATCTTTGCCACGGTAATAAGGATTCCCTTCCTGTTTTATAGCTGGAAGTGGGGGCGGACCGTAATACTTGATTTTTGTTTGTGAATTGCCAGACACTTATTTTGGAATGTTGAAATTAAAATCATTATACTTCAACTAACCAGTTTATTCAACACTATAAACTTTGCATTGTATTACATAACAACTTTACATAATGAAATAATATACAGGGGGTCGCATTACTGCGTAATTGTTCATTATCTCAATTTGTGTTATAGACACACAAATAGGTTTCAAATAAAAGTGGATTTAAAAAATAAGTAATAATAAAAATATTTTTGGATATACAGGAATTTTATTCTAAAATAATATACAGAGTGTTGCATATTTAAGAGATGTTTCAAAACACTCTGTATAAAATAATCCAGTTCTATCACCACTATTGGTTAGCTTAGTATCTTAGTATCTCATGAGTCTGTATTTTAAACAATTTTGAAATCATTGTTAAGAGTTATTGCTCCGTTCATGAGAACTAATTGGTCGGCATAGTCCATTATTATTTTTTTTATTAAAGATCCTGAAGAATTTCCTTATAATTGTTCAAAATTAAACACATGGATTGAACATTTTTCAAATATTGCTTCAGATAAGGTAAGTTTAAAAAATGGTAAAATAATATATAAATAAAGAGTTCCTTGGTTTATTCTGTAAATAGTTTTTATTTTTATAATTTAAATACTATATATTTTTCGGAAATTTTTTCCATCTTCTGGTGCAGTCAATATTTATAAAATTATGGGGGATGAGTACAGTTTTGAAATCCGACAACCGGGGGTTGATAATTAATTTAAATAATTCTTATGTATTACATATTATATTCAAATTTTATTTCGAATGCAAACAACATCCCAGCGTATCCCGCCTCGTAGGTGCCGTTTAATTACTTCTGGGAAAAGAAGTCGACGGGTAAACTGTAACGGCCGCTACCTAAAGGACCAAATATAAACCGATAGGGCTATATTCAGGAATTAATACAGGGCTTTATAGTCTTTATGTACCGAATTCACAGTCGTTCTCTTTCCGATACATTTGCATATATGGGATATTTAAGTATAAATACCAGGGTTTTTGTGGGCTGGGGGATGATTAGCTTTTTCTTCTTCATTGAGTCAAGTTAACAAAAAACGCATATATATCCATGTTACCGCCACGGTGACTCCTTTTTCTTTATATTCTTCAAATATAATAAAAAAAGAGATATCGCTACCCTTACGGTGGTAGCGCTTTTGTTATATTTTGGGAACAGAAATAAAAGATATCGACGGAGTAGATAAATTATTTTCTATAAACGATGGCTTCTACATAGATATCCAGTTGTCCTTAGGATGACCATCTTTTTCTTATATTTTATATATAAGTAAAAGGAGATATATATAGTCAGGTTGACCAAGCAGATACATGTTGAATAGAACCAGATTTCGCTCCTAGAACTGTTTTGTAAGGTTGTATCTACCGAGCAAATAAAATATTGGCGTAACTGATACTGGTGATACCACGCTAGTCTAGTTAAACGCCAGATATTTTATATCTCCGATTCAACATTATAAAATGTTACTACTCTAGGCGACGTTCGTAGTGGATTCCGTCATCCTTAAGGCTGACCCGACGAACTTGCGCCAGGTAGACGCTTTTATCAGCGGTATACTTTTTTTTCTGTAAGGTTTCTTTTACGTAGAATTAAAACGATAATCGCACTATTAAGGTAATCAAACTAGTATTTAATATTCAGATATTCCGGGGGAGAGTTTAGACTAACATTGATGGGTTACAGGTATCACTTTATTACTTTTATATTCATTAGCGGGAAGATTCGCGTCTGTGTGTTATTGTCATATTTTTGGTATTCATTAATAAACGTTTATTGTTGGAAAAATTGTAGGGTTTTTATATTTTGCTAAATTATACTATTTAGAGAATCGATAGTGATGTTGTCATAAATATTAATTATTGTAAAGTCGGTCAACACTCTCAAGTAATAAATTAAGTCATTTAGATTTATGGCCAAAGGGTCGAATTGTAAAGTTTGGTTGTCTGTAAACAGTACCTGTCCCTTTCAGTAAAGAGGAAACGCACTTTCGGTTTTACTTTTAAATGGCAAACAGATGTAGATTAGTAGGGTAAATGCCTTGATTTATATATATTTTAAAGTTAGATTGCGGTTAAAAAAATATGTTTTCTGTCGTTCTTTGTAAAACAAAATTGGGTAGACAAATGTGTCATTTTAGCCGTAAGGAGTGTTAGTTTTGTATATCGATTTTTCGGAAAAAAGGAGATATGTACAGCGGCGGGTAGAATCATGAATATTGAGGGGGTCGGATTTATTTGTACATATCCACATATCTTTAGCGGGACATTAAGCGGAAGTAGTCGGTATGTTTGTTATTTATTTAGAATAAATAGGTGAAATTGTGTTTGTGGACTAGCTAACGTATGCTCAAAACTGTGATTAATAACAATGATTTGTCAATCGACAGAGCAAAAGAGCATCGCGCCGAAAAAGAGCCTTAGGCCATCATAGACCGTCAGGTACCTCAATAGTAAGGGCCTAAAAATTGTATTTCCCTTGCGGCTATGTAAATTAAAGCCTGATAGAGACTTGGATGGATCTCTACTGAGATACCCCAAAAGTGCTGACGGGCATCCCCTTTATATCAGGTGTTCTCCGGTCGACCGTTCAGTGTTTTCCATACAGGACTGAGTATGTCAATACACTACGGCATTGGAATATTAGGGAAAGGCGTGACGCACGGTGAGGTAAATCTACACTCTGGTTTTTACACATGTTACAAACATTATTTTATATTTCACCGAACTCCCCGTGCTACCGCTGTACTCTCTTTTATTAGACAATGCGTAATTCAGTATTTCCGTGGAAACGTGTGATTGTATATTAGGAGACAAACAAATATACCAAAGTACTTCCGACTTTTATTTTACCCTTTTATGGGAACTAAAAGCTCTGAGGTTAGAAATGACACATTGGAAAGCCTACATAAACATAATGTTAAGCCTAAAAACGGCACATAATCTAAATGTCCGGCTGTACAAAAGAATAGATGTTAAATAAACAGTATTCCAAATTAATCTCTGCGTTTACTTTGTTCTTCCTCCATTACAACTACATTGAACTCTAAACGTAATTCTGGGGGTTTTAACATTACTTCGTGGGGATCCACTAGACGAAATTTAGGCCAAGGTTAAGGGTATTTGAAAAACTTGGTTAGGGCCCGGTTCGTCAAGTTACAGTTTTAAATTTTTTTAAATAATAGAAACCACATTTTTCTGTTTCACAGCGTGTGAAGGTGTATTCTAAAATAATAGTCGTTTACATATTTTAAATAAAGGCAAAATAGGGATATATCCTTAATTTTTCAGTTTGATTGTTATAGTTTTTCTTAACCCTTAATTGCGGTATTTCCAGGAAAATTTACGAAATTATGGAGTGTTATCCTTACGAAATTTAAAAAAAAATTAATTCATACTTAAAGGTAAAAAGCAAAACCTACAATCTTGTCCAACGAATTACTAATTTTTCTACACTCTATACCCGTTTTAACCAGAACCTAAAGGTTATATGCGCGAGTCCGACTCGCACTTGGCCTGTTTTTTTATTATAAATATCACATATTCAATAATTATTGTTTACCCTATTTTAGGAAGAATCTCAAAAAATTTTTTTTTACGAAATGGGCAATTTTTTCAAAAAAGTATGCTAACCATAGGCTAGTGCCACTTATTCTCTTTTCCCATAAAAAACATTATTAAAATATCTTTAAAATTGTATCTTCTAGGATTAAAACAGAATACCTAATATTAATACAAATTTCTTGCTATTGTCAGCGGAGCAATAACTGTTAACCTACCTAAATTATTATAATTTAATTTGGGATCTGCATCATTCTCTAATTTCATAAAAAGATTAATTGCTTGGCAACCCTGCAATATTTAAAGAAATCCAGGGTTGAATACATGTTTTACCAAACCATTCGAAAACTGAAATAAAATAGAGGGTATTCAATTAAAAAAAATAGACATTTTAATTTGCCAGGCAAAACTGCAATTGTGTATCCAAAATATATTTGTAAAATACGTATTTTTTAAATCTATTCAACTTTTATTTAAAATTTGTTTTTGTGTCTATAACACAAATTAAAATATTGAACAATTACGCACTAATGGGACACTCGTACAAGTGATTAGAACTTTATGACGGATAAGCAGATTTGAAACATATCTTATTTATTTAAAAAAAAAAAAACGAAGAGCACTTAAAGAAATAAAGCAAAGGTGTTGCTCTGTTGAAAATCTGACTAATTCTTGCAGTTTGTTTTGTCGAGTGCAAGTGTAAAATGGCTGGCAGGTGTGTCTCGTCGTGATTGGTTGAGGGAACGTGGCGAGATACAGTCTGTTCGCTATACTTACGCGGGTTTCGGATTAAAAATTTTATGAGTATTTCCAGGTAAGCACCCGAAAGTTTGACCTGTTTTTTGGGAAAATAACAACTGGTTAAATGAAATGAAAAATAATATACAACTTTTTATTTAAATAATAATGGAAAATCTTTTGTATAATTGAGAGCAGAATTAAACTTCTTCATTAATGGAGTCTAATGTGGCTATTATAAACCTAATAATAATTTTATATTACACTTCACACAGAAAAGATGGTCTATGTATAATAAGAGGGTTATTTAGCTCAAATAAAATATTTTGTAACATAAAAATTTGTTCCATGTAGAGAATTTCAAATGAAAAATAAAAAAATTGAACTTGCCAACAAAAATGAAAATCAGTCATTATCATCCAAAATATCATAATCGTCATCATCATCATTGTCGTCACCACTAATTGTTATTATGATTGGACTTATTTCGTTTATTTTATTTTCACGAGTCCACCAATCTTCTATTAGTTTCTCACACTTCTGGAGTTGCAATTGAAAGTACTTTTCGCCAAGTTTCCCAAACTGCGTCGTCACTATAACCATTAGGCTCAATATGGTTGTCATAATATTGTTTTGCTATTCCCCATATATATTCGATGGGATTAAACTGGCAATGATACGGTGGCAGACGTAAAACTTGAAGAACGTAACTTTCAATAATCTAATCCACAACAAAGGTTTTTGGTTTTGCGTGTATATTTGCCAAGCGTAATAATTCTGATTTTAATATATATTGAGGAAATGGTATATGTTCCTTTGTCAACCATTCTTTAATTTATCAACAGTCCAAGAATTCGTTGGACTTTGTTTAATACTTCAGAATGGTAAGGTACATTGTCTAAAATAATAAATTACGCTGGGCTCACTTAAACCTGGGAGAAGTTTTTCATGCAACCATTTTACAAACATTTCTGTTTTCATAGTATCGCGATAGTCACTGAATTTTGATTTAGATAAAAATATTAAATCAGCACCTTCTATAAAACCCGATTTCCCTCCTGCATGTAAAATTATGTGTCGCTTCCCTTCTCCATCGGTATGTTTGATGAACTTTACGTTATCATCTTGCCATATTCTCTTGGTTGCACCCCTAGAAAATATCCATGTTTCGTCTAAATATATAAAATTCGCCCCTTCTTCTTTAAATTTAGAATATTTTCTTAGAAAGTTAATTCTTTTGTGCACGAGAGAACTTCTTTCACAAAGGGCCTTTCTGTTATCCTCCTTTTGAAATTTGAAACTCAAGTTATGTATCACTTTCCATAGACTTGTTCTTCCAATATCGTCAAATTTTCTATCTATTAATTCCGAGAGAATTGTATTTAAGGTCACATGTTCTTTGTTGGCCCTCATTCGATAAATGGTATCACGAATTTCAAATTTCTTTCCATCTGGAATATCTTTCGTTTTCAATGATGGGCGAGTTTTGCGGTGATCTTCTTTCGGCAGTTCACTATTGTGATTTTGTAATACTCTTAATTTGGTTTCACTAATTTCTAGAGCATCGCATACGCGTTGTTGTACAGACATTACCGATTTTAAAGGACCGCTATTTTCTTTTTCATCCGTAAAATACTTATGTACACTACAAATTAGACTATCTACATCTAACACACGTCTAGGCATTTTTAAAATTTCCTCTAAATTTACAATATACATACAATGTCAACCTTGCAAAGAATCAATTCAACTGCAATATTTGTAACAAATTTAGTACCTACCCTAATGGTATTTTAATTTAAATCTGACCATTACGGCAATTTTACCTAATTTCTTGGGAAGAGGCTTATTGGAACTGGTTGTCAATGACTAATTTGCATAATTTTGTTAATCCGAAACCCGCGTAAGTATAGCGAACACACTGTAGTTGTGCCTGTTTTAAGTATTCTCATGTTGTATTTAAATTACTGAACATTTTCCATTAGTGATATTATATTCTGCGCGCGAAAGTACTAGTAAATAAGTTGAAGGTGCAAATATAATTTTCTTGGACTGATACACTGCATTTACTGTTACCAGGGTCGGCTTTTGATTTATGTAAGATTTTTAAATTTGGTAATGCAATGTACTGATTAAATAATAAAATAGATTGTTCTTATGTTTACTATATATTATTTATACGTGGTTGGTTCATAAAGGGAGTAACTAAAGTAACAAAATGCTTGTCATTTTGAACAATTATATTTTTACGGTTTATTTTTGTTGCAGGCGACACGTTGGTGGGAATATTTGGGAATTATCGAATGTCTAGCTTTGATGATCGCGTGTCTGTGTCACGATTTGGATCACAGAGGAACAAATAATTCCTTCCAAATGAAGTAAGTACGAATCATTAGCGCAAATATATCGTTATGTTATGTACAGAATGGGGTGTTAATACACTGCGACCTAAAAGATCTATTGTGTCCCCTTCTGTCGCCACTGCACTAAGGAAATGTCTCAATGCCTATAGCGACCCTTCCAATCCTATTTTCTCAAGGAAGTGTAGGATTTGAAGTGGCTTCAAGTTAGGTAAATCTACCTCTTCTCTTTGATATCCTCCTAGATATAGTGCCCTTGGATTCTGGAGTGCTACACATTCAGTGAGGATGTGAATGGAGGTTTCGTCCTCCTCCTCACAGAATCTGCACTCACTATCCTCTACTACTCTCAGTTTACTTAGGTGTCCTTTTAGTCGGCAATACCCGGTAAGGATCCCTGTTACAATACGTATCCTGTTTTTGCTCAGGCAGATGCAGGCTTCCGATCTTTTCTGGTTATATTCACCCAGAAGTATCTTGGCCTGTCTCAGCCCCAAGAGATTGTTCCAATTATCGGTTCTTCTACTGCCCAATTCTTTTTTAATCTCTCCTAATATTATGTTACTGCTGATACCGCAGAACGGCGCAGGTCCTACAAAGGGTGTTTGAGCCCCTTTCCTTGCAAGACTATCTGCAATCTCGTTACCCTGTACCCAGTTATGTCCCGGGACCCAAGTGAAAATAACTCTATTTTTCTCGCCTAGCTCATTCAATTGTTCTAGGCATCTCCAGACCATTTTTGAGCTGATTACGTAAGATGTCAGCGCTTTGATGGCTGCTTGACTATCGGACATGATGATAATCTTTGATAGTTTCTCTCGATGTTAAACTGGATACACTTCTTGATGGCGTGAATTTCCGCCTGGAAGATGCTTGGGTATTTTCCCAAGCTTTCGGAGTGCTTGGTTCTCGGCCCATACACTCCTATTCCAGTTCCTTCTATGATTTTGGAACCGTCCGTATACCACTGAATAGCACGTTTTTCGGTTGCAAGCGCGATGGATTCTTGGCTCCATTCTTTCTTGCAGCCCAGCTCTGTGGTTTTGAAGTTTTTCGCAAAACTGTACTTCTTTTGCATTTCATGCTGGGGCATGTTCCAGGTATCTGTAGTCCTGAAGCAAGTAGACTTTCGTTTGATTACTCCGTTCCTGATCATTCTATATCATGTCCTTCTTGCCACATTCTCTATCATCAAATGTAGAGGGGTGAGGTTTAAGATCACCTCCATTGCGGCCATTGGACAGGTTCTCATTGCACTAGTGATGCAAACACAGGCTAGTCTTTGTACTTTTGAGATATTAGCTCTCGTAGTAGCTAAACTAGTTCTGTTACTCCAGGCTATAGCCCCGTAAGTGATGATTGGTCTCACTATTGGAGTATACATCCATCGCAGTATGTTTGGGTTACATCCCCATCGTTTACCTGCAATGTTTCTGCATACCATTAGGGCTTTTGTGGTCTTATTTACTACTTCCTTCTCATGTGCGTTCCATAGAAGTTTGTTGTCCAGGGTTAGGGCTAGATATTTGACTTCATTTTTCCATTCTGTATCTATCCCGTCTAATTTAACGGTTTTGAGATTGTTTTCTTTTCCTTGAAAAGGCTACTAGTGTTGTTTTTGTAGGGTTTATACTAAGTCCCACTTCACGGCACCATCTTTTGGTATGTTCTAGTCCTCGTTGGACTATATCACACAGGATATTACTAAACTTGCTACTAGCAAATATGACTATCTCGTCGGCATAACCTTGACAGGGTATGCCGAGGTCAGTCAATCTGCATAGAAATTCGTCTACGATTAGGCTCCACATTAATGGGGATATAACTCCTCCTTGTGGACATCCTCTGGTTGTGTAGATGGAGATGGTGTCCTGCCCTATCTGTGTCTCTGCAGTTTTCGTAGAAAGCAGCTGAGCCATCCATCTGGATGTGATGTTATCTACTCCTCTGTATGCAAGTGCTCTTTTTACGCTCCTTCTATGTCTAGGAAGGCACACACGACCGTTTCTTTGTTTGTCAGTGCATCCTGGATTACATCAGTCAACTGTACCAGGGCAGTTTCTGTAGATCTTCCTGCTCGGTACGCGTTAGAAAACTACTTAAAAATTCTTTTTTTTTTTTTCAGAATTCATTCTCCTATAGCACAACTCTATTCTACTTCCACGATGGAGCACCATCACTTCGACCAATGTTTGATGATAATAAATTCGTTACAACTTCTTTCTAATCTTACACCAGAGGAACATTCCAGAGTTATAAGGGTATTGGAAGAGGCTATATTAGCCACTGATTTGGCTGTTTATTTTAAGTAAGTAAAATTCGTATTGTAAATGAATAAATTAAACTAAATTAAGAAAACGCTAAGCAAATGCGGGAGCAGGTCATTTAAATACTGGCAACCATTGGTTAGGGAAAGTTTAAAGCAGGCAACCTAATTTCATCATGCAGTGAACAACCTTAGCTTCAATTAGGCATATTTTTTTATATAAATATTC